TTTTTGTACTCAAATCTATAGGCGTATCGTCTCTGACAGCACTTGGATTACGATTACAGTTAGAAAGAAGCGCATAGCCATAGAAGCGCTCTTTGGGCTTCATTTTGTCAGATCTGCAATTGAATGGATAAACATATCTACAAAACAGTAGCTCTGGAGTACAGAATCTAAGTTTGAGCACTTTGTGTCAAAAGGGATACCTTAACGGCTTGTGTTGGACAGGTTCTGGACGGGGTGTGAAAGTTGTCGCCTATTCATCTTTGCATCGCACCATCACAACCAACCAGTCATTGGGATCTATGAAAGTAATGCAAACTCTCATTAGTATTGTATATCGATTGCAATCCAATCGACACGACAAGTGCTGCGATATCTGACACCCACTGACCCCACAAAATAATATAGCCTATCGGTTAAGTCATGTAAGCAATTACTTAATTGAAATTCGCTTCATTGACTCCCTATAAATCTTTTGGTAGAAAATTTTAAAATTATTTTTATGCTTATAATTAACAAAATTGGCAGATCTTCCACAACACAACACACCATATATTTATTTGGCAAACAGTGAACACAAGTAATGATTAGGAAATATGCTCCGAGTCATTTAATTTTCTTGTAATACATATAAAAAATGAAAGTAATATCGAAGGAAAGCATGAGTTGAAAAAAATATACTTTTTTGCTTACTTTGAGTCCTAAGAGGTGCTAATATTTAATTTCAATCAAATTTAAAGAAACTTTTTTCACCGGAAACTTACAGCACTTTTTGTGAGCTTTCGATCGCTAAGCTATTAAGTCGCCGACGACTTCGCATCACTTCAACTCAAATCTCACTCACAATCATAGGATATAATTAATTTTTTTCAGACCATTCGTCCACACTTTAAAAAATCAAACTTTATATTTGAAGTTATAGTGAAGACAATCGTATAGATGTATAGTTTGATTAGTTGTCGTTCACTGCAAAAAGTGATGCACTTTTGAGAGTGGGCTTCAGTGAGACTGAAGCACAAATGCCGACAACTCTTATACTTTGGTATTTGAATCACACATTTATCGTAGGGTATAGTGAATGGAACAGATCTTTCAGTGCTTTATAGCCCCGGTCTGTGTCCCCACTCAACCCCATACCCACCCCTGCACTGCACTTACATTTTTTACCACAGAGTCAATACTCAGGTGAGGGCGTCATAAGTAGGTCACCAGAAATGAGTGTCCGAACAAACAACCAGATGGACAATAGTTGTGATACTCAGACAGTTGTTGTTTGTCTGTCTTCTAGTTTTTTGCAGCAAAATAGTAAACAACGTTCGCATAGATGTGGGACTTCAGCACAAGTTATACAGCTTTCCAGAGCACGAGTAAAGGGGAGAAGAGAGTGGATAACAATAAATTATATGTCAGTAGTGGTTAAGAGGGCTTTCTTGGCCCTCAGGCTTGTGTTGTATATAACGGTAAAACTTAGCCTAACAGTACTCTAAGTACTCTATGAGGCGGCGATTCACTAAAAAAAGCTGAACTAAGAGACCCGAGACACTGTCCTTCACCCAAACCCTATCCCAAACAGTATTAAACTCTTTATTTTTTACCACTTTTTCCAAAGAAAATGTTTTTCTTAAAAACAAGTATACGATTGAAATGACATGTAATGAATGGTAATGAGAGAAGAGTGAGAAACCATCTCATCTTCCGGAGTGAATTGCAGTGTAGCATAAGTTTGGCCCAAATGGTACTGACCTTTATAAGGACCCAACCCATTGTGTTGACAGTCGACACAATGCAATACACGTGTAAAGAAAGTTTTACATTAATTTTGCTGAACTGTGAAACCAAATTGTCTAACATTTTATATGACATGTAATTAAAGGAAATATGCTTTCAATCTTTTATAAGAATCATTGCAATGCAACAGTGAATGCAATGCATAGGTCTATGACTTTCTAATCAAATGAATTACTTTATGACCAAAAATTCTGAATATAAATGATAGTAAATGTATTGAAATCTTTGCATTGCTTTGAATACACAGCGAAATTATATAAACCCATAGTAGTATATCAAATAATATCTATGATTCAAATACAACGCTTAAAAGCAAATCTATAAATTCTAAATTGTATATAAATTGGAGCATTTGTTTTGTTATTATCTCAAAATAGTTAGAAACAACTTTACCGTAAATGTGTGGGCAGTAAAACATATTTAAAAATATCATAAACAATAAAATAACTTATCATTCATTTACTTTTTTCTTATTATATACTGAAATAGACGATCAGTTTATTTTTATCAAGTAGTTTATAAAAATAAAATCACATGAAATCTTTTGAAATAACGTGAATTAATTTTGCAAGTAATGCATTTATTAAAATATTGAAATATCACACACGATATCGATAGTGTTAAGTTATTGTGAAATTAAGTGAAAGTTAAGTGAAAATTACAAAAATGTATAAAAAATATAAGAAACTATGAATTTACGGAAACCCTAATTAGTTATGTATTAATATTGAGGTAATATAACAAGAGATCAATTGAGAAGTGATATGAAAATAAAGTATTCGTATTTAGATCAGGAAATAATTGAATCGCTTCTGTACTATATATCGCTGGTGTACTAAAAGTAGTTTTTGTGTGTAATTTCTTGAAAACAGTTTTGTTTAAATCATTTGGTAAATAAAATACTATAGTATTTCTGTAAAACAAGGTATATATGTTAAGCAATTTCTCGCTCAACAGCACAGATATAATGTAATGTATAGACTATGGGTATAGAATAGAGGCTTTATTTATGGCTTTTGATTACTTTCTCACTTAAGCTGATTTGTATTTTTTTGAAAGCAGGTCTAATATATAAGGATAAGAATAATTTTTACAAAACAGGTTTAGGTTTGGGTTCACTTTCACTTCCGTGTCCTAAACTTGTAGTTATGATGAGAGAAAATAAGCAAAATGTGGGGCAAGTGTGGAAATAGGCCGCCAAACAAATCTTTTTATTTATTGCAATCAAAATCAATTTAATGTCAGTCTAACCAAACTGTTGGTTAAATTCTATTACTTAACCCGAAACCCAATTTTGAATAATATTTAGCAAATATATGCATAGAGTATATGAAAGAAAGAGAAAACTTGTTATAAATATTGAGAGCGCATCACATCCTGTATTTCTATATCATATTTAACACCACTTTCACTGCGGAACACATCTATGGCACAGGTATTAAGGGATGACCAAAATGGGTCACATTTCTCACTAACAACTATCCCCTAATACTCTCATACACTATACTATCGTATATTTATACAATCAAAACGCATTTTTATAAATAAAAATCCAAATTGCATAACACATTACAGCAAACGTTTTACGTTTAATATCAACTCAAAAATAACTAAATGATTGTTTTTCTCAACTATTCACCAAATATTGAACTCAACAAAATTCAAGAGAGCGTTATATTTGAAGATCTATCTGAAGATTTCATAAAAAACTAAAGCAGAACACAATTGACAAAATTCTTTGAAAAACATTTTCACAATAGATTTGAGCGGAAGTCAACAGTTTTACGCTTATTTTGGAACAAAATATCTATAAAAATGAAAATTTGCAAAACTATGGACTCTTGTCTTTCACGAATTGAAGACAAAATAATTTGTTTAAAAGTGTTGTATAACTTATAATATCGTTAGCAAATGTTACGCCAAAAGTACACATCCGTTCATTTAAAAGTACAATAAAACGGATGACAATTTGGGAAATATATAATCAATAATATAAAAGATATAACACTTGAGAGGTTTTCTTAGATCACACCTGAAGTCGGGTCCACTCGACTACTCATTTAAAATATATTTTTAAATTATTGTAAAAATATTCTAAAAAAGTTTGTCTTACCTTTTCATTAATCCATTGATTGATTAAATCCAAAATCAAATGTAATATTTAAACAAATTTATAATAAATTTTTATAAAATATTTTTTGAAAACAATTGTTGAGTGAAAATATTTTTTAAGAAACTAAAAAATAAGAGAATTTTAATATATATATTGCGCGAAGTAATGGTTTGAAGCAGTGGTTTGTACTTTCACTAGAAGTTGAGAACTGGAAAACACTTTTCATTCTTTGCAGCAGTGATTCAATTGGTATAATAAGAGCCATAATTGGGTCATAACGTGATTCTACGGGATTGTTGTTATGACCAGTTATTGGGATTGGACTCCAATTGGAGGCAACGCTCACTCACTACCCAACAGAGAAGATAACACTGATTTGTATTGCAGTTTTGGACAACTTCTATGTGTTTTAATTTGGTTTAGGACTCAACTTCCTCATGACTTGACCCCAAAATTACTACAAATTAATTGTATATATCGTATGGTTTCTATATATTAAAAACAAAAGTATTTTCATATTTTATGTTCACATTTGTAGTCATTACCCAAAAACCATGCATTTTATGCAAATTTTATGTCTTCATGTCCGCTATCAATAGTTATCTATTGATTCAATTAAATTGAATTATTTTACACATTATGTGACTTTTATTAGAACTAAATTATTAAACTATACTTTATTTTTATGTATTGATTATGTATTTTTAATTACAATTAGATTAACATTTTTACAACAACAAATAAGTTGTTATAAAAGTTTATTAACAATAAATTTATAAATAAGATTACAATTTAGTTGTATTCAAAATAAATTAATTTTGTATTTAATTGTAATCCCGATTCACGCAATTAAATGCATAATATGTTGAATATGCGCTACACTTCCGCTTTGAGTTTAGCAGTAAGCCTATGAGTGAATGAATAAAATTAAATACAAGCATATACTGTACTATATACATTATATAATATTAAGTATAAAAATATAGTACAGTGAAGTCCTAGATAAAAGAACTGCTTGGTGGCCAGATTTTTCATATTTAAAATTTAATATGGATAATTTTCCATCATATATAAAAATATTAACTAGTACTAGTACAGAGAAATGAAATGTAATAGAACTTATTGAAATATGAGCTAAATTAGTAAAAACTAACTTTTTACATATTTTAATATTGCTGTTTAATATAAGTATATTATTTAGAGGTATGTTCTTTAAAAATTGCTTACATTTTTTAGTTACTATTTAAACATTTTTAGTTAATAAAAAAATTTTAAATAATTTTTAGTTTAAATAAAACAAAACTTTGTTTGACTGTACAGTACTGTGCGACTACTTTGTACTCTATTATAGTGTATAAACGCATACGTAATACTCGCTTTGATATGGAGAGTAAAATTGCCAAAAATAGTATTAAATTGTTTGTATAAAATAGAAGTTTGGTATAGAGGAGTTTTACTGTACACATGCTATATTGGGGTATTATAATATATAATCAAGTTCTAGTATGTTATAAATAATTTTCATTTCTATTGTACTAAATGAGTATTTCCCACATCAATACATTTAAAGGCACATAAGTTTTACTGCTTTTTGAAAACATAAAATTCATTTTTGGAAAGCATTTTCTAAATCTAAAGATTCATTTATGTTTCATATTTTGTTCAAACAGGAAGTACTGGTTGTACGCCACCCAACCCCTGGCCAATTGTTTTTAGCTTATCATTTGATTTAACTTATGATAAAACAATTTGTTTTCATTTTTATTATAATTTCGGAAGAAATATAAATCTATTTTTTACAAGATTTACTAATTTACTAAAACAATCCATTTTTATAATTAATTGCATTTCAATTAATTATATCATTAAATATTTCTCGGAATATAACGATTGTTTGAATCAATCATTACTTCCATTGAATGCACAGATCTTTAATAGTTTTATGCAAAAATCATAAATAAATGCAAGAAAACAACACATACTTAATCTCTATAGAAACCAATTGTTGTCAAAACAAATCATATTTCAATGGAATCTCGATATTAAGACATTTCATAATTTTCTTGTAAGACTTCAATTCATTGTTTAAAATGAATTTTTAGAAATAGATATTATTTTAATAGTAAAACTGATACAAATGATGGCAACTGTGCGACCATTTGAGGTGAGAGTAAATCATTGAAATTTAAAGTTTAAAATTAAATTTTTGAGATATTTTAAGATACAGTAAATCAAATACTAAACTATATTTTAAAGAGAGCCAATCTATTTTAAAGTTTCCTTATATTCTTATATAAGAGTAAAATGTGTCACAAAAGCTGATTGAGAGATATTTAATGATATAATTAATTGAAATGCAATTAATTATAAAAATGGATTGTTTCAGTAAATTAGTAAATCTTGTAAAAAATAGATTTATATTTCTTCCGAAATTATAATAANGAGAGGGGAGAGAGAGAGAGAGAGAGAGAGAGAGAGAGAGAGAGAGAGAGAGGTGTTGAGACAATTAAAGCAACGAAAACCTGTATTTATACACAGAAAAGTATTAGTGTTAATATAAATAGTGTATAAAGTAAGTAAAGGCAGAAACTTTCACTTTCTAATACATAACATGGTATTAATACTGTATGTGTTTATATAATACAGAAGTTTGCGACGCATTGAGACCTGTTATCGCATTATTTAAAAACTGAGACCAATTATCTATATATTTGCTCCAAATATTGTGTCATTAGAGCGGATATGGTTTAGTTTGTTATCAAACAATTAAAATATAAAAATAATGTTATATTCTTTCATATGCTTTACTAAAAACCAATCGTGAATTATTTGGCATTAGATTTTGCATTGAGATAACTATTAGATTTGCATTTGACAGGTGTTTCTCGTTTCAAACTTATTGTTTTGAGTATTTGTTATAAATTGAGTGCATATATAGTGTGAAAACAATTACAGTTATGTCCGAACAGTCCGTCCGTTTCTCCAAAAGTGATTCCAAAATCATGACTGAAGTCTCCAATAATCCAAACAATGAAGTTATTCACTAAACTATTGACACCTATTTTATTAAACTATTATAAGAAATTAATTTTAAATTATTTTTTACTTTAGGCGCCTCTCAAGAGTGGCGGCTCATTGGATGCTAATGTATACGCAACTAAAAAGACAATTGCCCAGGGTCTGTATCAATTAATCATGTTGCCTTTGTATAATATTGAAATAATATTGAAATTTTATTTTGCTATCAGGTATGCTAGACGTCGCCCTCTTAACAGCTAATGCCAGGTATTGTCTAAAAGTTTGATAACATTTCAATCTATAATATATTTATATATGTTTAACAGTCAATTAAAATATTGTCTCCAATTGGGCAAAAAGAGCCAATTCTACTATCTTATGGTCACTTTAATAAGCACTTCCATTGTATTACAGGTAAACATCTATTTTAGTTTTAAATTAAAGTAATCAAAATAAAATTAGATTCATTTTTTGGATGTCTATTACAAGACTGTGTGTGTGTTTTGAGCATAAACTTATTTTTTAAAATGTTATATTAAAATAAAAATCACATTAATACTATGGTATTTAAATCTTAATATTGATCTACAATTATTATTATTTTAGTTTACATCAATTATTAGACTGAATAATTTATAATCAAAGAAATGAAATAAAACATAATACAGTATTAAATACTATATTAAATATTTAGTATTACAAATGTTGTTTTTATATGAACCATATAATAATTTGTTCATATGATGGCCAACTTTAAAATTGATGTCCATCTCCTGTTATACGTGAAAATAAATGAAACGAAATTTCATAATTTCCAGTGCCTTATATTAATAGTTTGTTAAAAGTAACAATAATTAAATATAAGTTTAAAACATTAAACTATTATATATTTCCATTAACTTTAACTTTAGATAGGATTAGGTGCGGCTATAGTAATGAAGTCCAGATACAACATCAATAAAGACCATCACCACAGAAGTGCAAACTTGTATAACAATATAATTGTTTGGATTGTTTTTGTCATTACTGTTCTTAACATAATTGTGTCATCCGTTGGATTCGATTACAATCCTATCATTCGGTCAGACATTCACAATATATAGCTAAACAATAATAGCATTTAATTCATTACTTATAAGATTTTAGCTATTTTCTTACAAGCTAAATATCAATTATTAAGCTAAACTTATGAAATGACTAATAATTTGATCAATTTTTATATTTTATTCAAAATATTTTTTAACAATGCAATATTTTAATTAGTTTTATATCGATTTATTGAATCTCGATTCTTATCTACAGAATCTGTAGAGCAGATTATTTATAGTGATTCAAACGCCTTATAACGGGTTTAGCCTTATACCTTAACGACTTGTAACGAGGTTATACTGTATTTAATATGTGAAAATTATTTTGAATATATCAATTCATTTACAGTGTATATCTGTTTTGTATAATGTAAAATATGGTACATTGAAATATGAAATAATCATTTATAAATTATAATAATGAATTAAAATTGTGCTCCAGGAAAGCTTATTCGCACACTTTCTCAAATAGATCACATGTAGTTAATTTATAATTTTCATAAATTATATAGCTGCTATTATGGCCACTCTATTAAGTTTATTTATTTATTGAGTAACAATTATACCACAATTAACTTACAATTGCAAAACTAATTATTAAAATTATTTTCTACGAATTTCTTGTATATAACCAGGTAATAGTTGGTGGAATATTCGTGATGGTCGGTTACATCAACTTTAATGATGAGCGCAGACAACGAAATTTAAATCTAATGAATAACTCGGCCACCATTTTTGTATTCGTGATAACTGTAGTCAATGTATTAATCGCTGGGTTTGGCTTTAATGTCGAGAATACCTTTATTTAACATTTAAATAAAGACACCGAAAGGCTTTAATGGATACCAAATATTACAAATCATATCATAGTATTTCTGTTAGACTGTACCTTTGATCAAAAATATTATCAATTACTTTAAATCAATTATATACAACATATCCAGTAATTGTATTACATATTAAATGCCTGTTTTAAATTTTTGTTTACTTAAATATATCAGGTAATAACTTTAAATGTATCAGATCCCTTAAAATTGTTTAATTGTTAAATGAGTTTTTTAAATATTTATTAAATTTTCATGGAAAATGTTAATTATTATATAATTCGTGAATTATATGTATATTATTTATTGATATATTATCTAAATACATTAATAGTTTATTTTATATAATATAGCAAAATTATATTTTTTTCACAACATTTAATATATAAAACAAAATAAAAACACAACGTGGTTGAAATAATAAAATATTGATGCGATTAATTGCGATCACATGTTTATAAANTTAATAGTTTGTTAAAAGTAACAATAATTAAATATAAGTTTAAAACATTAAACTATTATATATTTCCATTAACTTTAACTTTAGATAGGATTAGGTGCGGCTATAATAATGAAGTCCAGATACAACATCAATAAAGACCATCACCACAGAAGTGCAAACTTGTATAACAATATAATTGTTTGGATTGTTTTTGTCATTACTGTTCTTAACATAATTGTGTCATCCGTTGGATTCGATTACAATCCTATCATTCGGTCAGACATTCACAATATATAGCTAAACAATACTAGCATTTAATTCATTAATTATAAGATTTTCTTACAAGCTAAATATCAATTATTAAATATTAAGCTAAACTTATGAAATGACTAATGATTTGATCAATTTTTATATTTTATTCGAGATATTTTTTGAGCAATGCAATATTTTAATTAGTTTTATATTGATTTATTGAATCTCGATTCTTATCTACAGAATCTGTAGAGCATATTATTTATAGTGATTCAAACGTCAAATGCCTTATAACGGGTTTAGCCTTATACCCTAACGACTTGTAACGAAGTTATACTGTATTTAAAGTGTGAAAATTATTTTGAATATATCACTTCATTTAAAGTGTATATCTGTTTTGTATAATGTAAAATATGGTACATTGAAATATGAAATAATCATTTATAAATTATAATAATGAATTAAAATTGTGCTCCATGAAAGCTTATTTGCACACTTTCTCAAATATATCACATGTAGTTAATTTATAATTTTCATAAATTATATAGCTGCTATTATAGACACTCTATTAAGTTTATTCATTTATTGAGTAACAATTATACCACAATTAACTTATAATTGCAAAACTAATTATTAAAATTATTTTATACGAATTTCTTGTATATAACCAGGTAATAGTTGGTGGACTATTCGTGATGGTCGGTTACATCAACTTTAATGATGAGCACAGACAACGAAATTTAAATCTAATGAATAACTCGGCCACCATTTTTGTATTCGTGATAACTGTAGTCAATGTATTAATCGCTGGATTTGGCTTTAATACCGAGAATACCTTTATTTAACATTTAAATAAAGACACCGAAAGGCTTTAATGGATACCAAATATTACAAATCATATCATAGTATTTCTGTTAGACTGTACCTTTGATCAAAAATATTATCAATTACTTTCGAGAATACCTTTATTTAACATTTAAATAAAGACACCGAAAGGCTTTAATGGATACCAAATATTACAAATCATATCATAGTATTTCTGTTAGACTGTACCTTTGATCAAAAATATTATCAATTACTTTAAATCAATTATATACAACATATCCAGTAATTGTATTACATATTAAATGCCTGTTTTAAATTTTTGTTTACTTAAATATATCAGGTAATAACTTTAAATGTATCAGATCCCTTAAAATTGTTTAATTGTTAAATGAGTTTTTTAAATATTTATTAAATTTTCATGGAAAATGTTAATTATTATATAATTCGTGAATTATATGTATATTATTTATTGATATATTATCTAAATACATTAATAGTTTATTTTATATAATATAGCAAAATTATATTTTTTTCACAACATTTAATATAAAAACAAAATAAAAACACAACGTGGTTGAAATAATAAAATATTGATGCGATTAATTGCGATCACATGTTTATAAATAGAAAAATAATTTTATCACAGATTTATTAATTGTTTATTTGGAAGCAATCATTTGATTGAGAGGTTGGCTGTTGTTTGTGATAAACTGGTAATTGAATTGCCGGAGCAAATCCGCACAAACGTTCTGCACCTGTAATATATGTGTCATATTTAAAGTTTGGATCCATTCAAAGGCAACACTCTTGGAGTTTCTGATAGTTGTGTACGGATTTCTTTTGGAGAAATCAGTAAAACTAGAGTTCGTATGAGTTTTGAGAAATCGCTTAACACTCGCAGAGTAGGGAATACCAGACTTTTGGAGCAATTGTTTGGCATATTTTGTCGGATCAGTCGATAAATCTTCGTATCGAATGAGAGTAAACTTCGATGGATTTAATTGTTGAAGTCGTTTAAAAGCGTTCAAGTCTTGCCTCATCTCAGAGCACAGGGAGTCGATGTCCGAGCAGTTAGTCTTGTGTGAGCACCACATCATGTTTTGTCGTGACTTAAGTGTCCCGCGCGGGTCTCTCACCAAATATATCACATTTACATTCAAGTCGTTTAGTTTTGGCAAAACTGTCTCCAAGTGTCTCATCTGAAGTCTCGCCACTTTCATCACCTGAACCTTAGCTCTCTTACACGTCTGGCTAATAAAATTTGGATCAAAACACGTGGTAATTCTGAAGCGACAAATACCCCACAGAAATTTATTCCATTTCAGCAAAAATTGATTTCTAGTTTTGTGAACCCATTCGACATAATTAGGGATTTGCTGAAAATCGCAGCGAAAAATACTTTCAATTATATGAGACGCTTCTTCTACTCTATAGTCTTCAATACGAATCCCATCTGACATATAGTGCAGGGGTTCGAAGGTATAGAAACTCTTCCAGTTTTGTTGCAACAAATCGCCTAAGAATGTGGAGCCGGACCTGAAGTATGTAAATAATAGGATTCGAGTGACCGACGAGTCGGGTATTGTCTGTAAAGATCGTAACGGATTGAATGCCGACGACATTAAATTCTTCAATTCTTGTGGATTGCGTTTTTGTTTGAAAATTTGTGTCATATTAGCCATAAACCGATCGTAAGACCAGGGGGCAGACAACTCCCCGTCCGCACCAAATGCTATGGTTCTCGTCCTTTTTTGTGCCATTTGTTTGTATTTGTTTTCATTTGAAACAATCGCTTCCTTTTTATTTATATTTTGTAATAAATCTGATTTTTGATTACTTTTATGAGCTATTCATTGAATAAAGATGTAATTAATTAATAAGAAATATTGATAATTCAAGTGAAGACTTACATTGATTTTGTGTATTTAGAGAATTATAAGCAAATGAATGGGCATTTGTTTTCCAGCGCCAGGTATAAGGAATTCCCGTTTGTATGAGTAGTAAACACATACCGAATCCCATAAGAAGTATGTAAAGTCGAAAGCGAGTCATTTCGGCTATTTTATGACGTCTTCGCAGATGAGGGCACAAGACATGTAAACTTTTGATCACTTCATTTATTATTTCATTATTATATATTTAAATTTAGTGAAAATAGTTATAAAAATATAGCTATTTTACAATCAACGAAGTTGCGATAGAATTTGTACGATATTTACAATACAAATAGTATATTTATAAATACATTTTGTGTGTTATATAAAACCTCAACGAAAATATAAATTCATTTTCAGTTTGAGGTAAAAATAAGTTTTAAAAAGAGGACAGAAGTACTTATTTAAAAATAAAGTATAATCACAAAATGGAGGTCAATATGTCGATGGATTTGATCCAAAAAGGAACTGATTCTCTCCAAGAAACTAAGACAACGATATAGTATTTTGCAACATTAATAATTTGCAATATATTTATATAAAACTGAAGCCATTTATCTCAATATAATTTCAATATAATGATGTAAAACGAGGAAAATGTGATAAAAATTGATTTGAGAGATGACTGACTCAGTCTCTGTGGTAGAGATGATGTTCAGCCATGAGTTCAGACAAACCGACAAAACAAGTATTAGTTGATAGTTATATACCAAAAACTTGTTTCAATTGGCCTTCATTTAAATCATTATGAAAGCGAAATTCCC